TCAAGAAAAGTCCTGGAAAGTCCTTGAATTTCAATCTCATCATAGAGTGGGAACCCTGACTTGGAATTGTCAAGGAATTTTATTTTAACTCATGAAAGCAGGGATAGTTGCAATTTTTTACAAAAAAGCCTAATTTTTTTTATACTATACATGAAAAAGAGCCCTTTAGCATTGTCAGTAACTGTAACCAGTTTTTGAGATTTGAGTTAAATAATTCCAACATCTATTACTATTATTTTATAAAATTCCACTTTTTAGTGAAACTTTTCCATGTTTCCAGTCTCATTCTATTACATGTTTTTATTCACAAAATCTAATATTTGACATTAAGAATAAAAAAAAAATATAGTTAAAGTGCCCTGGCGAATGTAAACTTAAATGTTGCCCACTCTGCCAACACAACATCCACTTGTTTATTCAAGAGATTTGGGTTTAAATACATGGAGTTTCTTTATCTCAAAGTGTCAAAAATACTCAATGATGTTAAGAATAAGATTAGTTATAGTTTTTCTGTGATGCTAGTCTTTGCATGTTTAAATTAATTTCCCTCTTAAAATCATAAACTATTGCCCTCTATTTTCAATATTTGTCAACTGAAAACTCTCAACTCTAGGAAAAATATGGTTGGCTGATTTGATACACATTATTTTATAAAACTTCTCACCAACTTTAAATAATTGTCTATTGCAAGCTAGAGATTGAAAATTCCATGCTCTGCACTTGGGAGTTATTTAAAATAAAATGCTGCACTAAGTATAGCTTATGTTAAACAAAATTTAAAAAAATGGTTGGTTTGTAATATCTTTAAGCAAAAAAATTTTGCCAAACTTTTCTCTGTTATCTTAATATATCCAGTGAAAAATTAAAATGTTAATGTCATTTTCCATGAAAATGTATAAATTTTGTCCTTGTTCAATCTTCCTTAAATTTTTAAGTAATTGTAAATGGACTACTTTAATCTTAATTTTTGTTATGTTGATTCTGACAAATGCTATTTTTCGAAATTCACTAACATTCTTTGTTGCAGTGTTATATTTTTCATGTGCTTAAAAAACAATACCTATTGATTAAAATTAATTCGATTCACTGTAGTCAAGGTCTCTCATTGAATCAAATTGAAATAACTAATAATAAATAAGTTTATTTCATAATTTTTATTAATAAAAATTACAGGTACCACTGCATTATACACATTTTTGTCAATGCATCCTGCCATTGTTAGTAATTATCCTAGTCCTGAAACATTTGAAGAAGTACAGTTTTTCAATGGTAGAAACTACTATAAGGGTTTGGATTGGTAAGTATTCAAAATTTTGACTTAAGCATTGCTTTGATGTAATAGCTTTGATACTGAAACTACTTTTCAGTTTTTGGACATAATACTTATTTTCTGTAAGGTATTAGTTTTTCAGTTTCTCCTAAGTTGTACCTGTATGAAAAATTCTATTGCTTTTGAAAAAAAATACTTATGTAACAAATTTTTGAAAAACTTAAATTTGCTGTCCTTGGATGCATTTAAAAAAAATTATTTTTTCAAATCAAATTATTATCTTTGCTCTAAATTGTGACTGTCACTTGCCGAAGTATTTTTGAATATATTATCTGATTTTTATAACTTTACTGACTTATGGCATAGTATATAAAATAGAATACAATAATAAACTTGCTAACTCTGTTGGTTTCGGTGTGACTTTCAAATTTTTGGGTACAATTCCAGGATCTGTGGTCACCAGTGTTATTTTCACAAAATGCATCATAGTATTGCTAAATGTATTTCCTAATTTTCAAAACTTTATTGACGTGTGATAAATTATATAGGATATTACAATGACAAATGTTATAATATGATTCTATTAGTTTTAATGACATATTTTATGTCATTGGAAATTTTGATATAAATCACTTTTTATATGTTTCATCATTAAAATTATTAAATTATGCCCAAGTTATTGTATTCAACCTTTAAAATTAATTCTGTGAATGAGTGAAATGCTATTTCTAAACATATGTTATTTTTCTTAATGTACTATTCTAGTATTTTTATTCTAACTACCTTTAATTTCCATTATTTAAATAGTCAATAGTTTATCTCTGATGTGATGAGAAATGATTGTGTGGTTGTATTATATTAAAATTTTAAGGAATTTTGATATTTTATTTTCCACATACTCAAGTAAAACTTGTCCTAAACTTTTAGAAACGACGTATCTAAATAAATATTAAAGAGTGTCACACTTAATAAAATTTTCATTAATTGTTATTGCGAGTTAAATATACAAAGATAGTAATTTTTTTCAATGGCTCTGATAAGTGGCTTTGAGAGATAAATGAAAAGCTGAAAATGTGTTTTTTGTAACTGTTCAGTTTTTAAAAAACTCTAAAATAACAAGAAAATCCTTTTTTTTTTTTAATTTTTAGGTATATGAATTTTTTTCCTGTTCCTAAAAATTCTACTGATAAGTACTTATTTGAGAAAAGTGCTACTTACTTTGATGGAGACTTAGTGCCAATGAGAGCACATGCTTTATTACCCTCCGCCAAACTTATTACCATATTGATTAGTCCCATCAAACGAGCATATTCTTGGTACCAGGTGAGTACTTTAATGGTTGTTATATATTCTGTAAACCTTTTTAGTAATTGACATTTTCCTACATTTTTATAGACATAATCAAACACATAGATTAATGTAAAGACAAATTCATAGTAATAATCAATAGTTATTTTTTAAATATTCATTCCAAAAATCCTTTTATAATTTTTTAGAAGTAATATCTTTGCAAATTGCCATTTTACATTTTGTTGAAATATGTAATTATATTCTTAAAGGATCTTATAAATATTTTAGAATATAATCTCTAAAAATACATAATCAAATTTCAAAACTCTAAGAGCAATGTACTGTTTCTTAGTGTTATTGAATATTTTTGTGAGATCTTAGAAGTACTTCAAACCTATTTAAAATGATGCAATCTGCTTCTTAAATCGTCGTGTTCTTTAAACTCTGGTCAACTGAATTTTGAAAGTTAAAAGTACCAATGCACCGAAATGTCATAAAACACATTTAAAATTGTATTACTGTTTATTGTTTGTTACTTACACTAAAGTAAAAGATCTAAAGACTTAGTTTATGATTTAATTTTGTGCCCTTTTTTAACAATTGTTCAATATACAACATTTATGATGCTTTGTTAGTATAAATAAATATTTAATCAAGATAAAACAGACATTGATCATCTACATTACGTGTATGAAGTAGGGTTTTGGAAAGAAAAAAATTTCAGGAACAGTCGTTATAATTGTTTTCTAGCAAGATTTGATCTTTAATGTGATTTAGGTTGTGTAATTAAATGCGTAATATATTATATTTAATAGACTTACGCATGTCCCTTTTCCTCGCTCTTTTTCATGGAGTCTGCCTGTACTTGCATGAATAGTTTTAAATCGATACTCTGTATTTATAATGACTTATATAAGACCTAGCATTCTGAAGTTGAGAAGCATTCAACATTTTTTAGCTATTCAATAATTAATTTTATTATTTTATAGTAAGTTTTTTAATGTAATGATCTATTACAGCATATGCGAGGTCACAAGGATCCCACTGCACTGAATTACAGTTTCCAAGAGATAGTCACTACTGGTGATAGAGGGCATAAAGCCCTAAGAGAGCTTAGAAGTCGTTGTCTCATGCCTGGAATGTATGCCCAGCATTTGGACAGGTGGCTGTCATTTTACTCACCACAACAAGTAAGATTTCACTCTCTTTTGTAACAAAACCTTCAGACTAAGAAGTTTGAAAATTGCTGGCTACTTAGAAAGTTAGAAGGGCTAGAGTGATCCCTTCCGACTTTTTTGTCGCATTTTCAATTTAAAGTATATGTTTCAAATTTAATAAAAAAAAAATAATTAAAGCTATAGAAGCTCTATCATTAAATAATACCTAAGAGGCCTATCTGGGCCATCCAGTCATTCTTGGTATAAGTTTCAAAGCTCATGTGAGGCTTAAATCTTAGTAATTTAATAAGCTCATAAATAGTATATTATGAATATTCAGAAAACTGCACTGCTTCAAATTAATTACTTTTATAATTACTAAGCAAGAAGGGCCACCCCGACCCTTCCACTTTATACTATTAAAATAATTTTTGAGATTGTTATAATTACTATTAGTAGCTTGTTTTTATGATTAAAAATTAAAAAATTGTTTAATAATTTCAAAATTGTGATTTTGGCTGAATAATGCATGTTTAGCCTATAAAATATTTGGTAATATTAACCAGAAATTATTAATATTTAAGCATTTTAATATCTACTAACTATTATTTCTAAATCTTAACTGTTTGGAATTCAGCTTCCAATCGGTGTTTTTAATTTGCATTAGCTAGAGGTTTAAGGGCTTAGATTTTCAGAAAAAAAAGTAATTTCCAAATGATTTTAAAAGGAAAAAAACTTTTTGAATGTGTGTGCGTGTGTTTGTATTGATATTTGTATATAATTAAAAAAAAATTAATTTATGTCTATTAATGTTTATTTTTGAAGTAGTTTTCTGAATAAAGGCATAAGCTAAATACAAAAATATTTATTAATTTTGTTTCATACTTAATATGAAAAGTCTTGTTTGAGATTAGTCTTTGATTCAATCTTAAAATATTTTTCAACAGAAATTTTTATCTTCATAATTTTAAAAACAGTAATTCAGTAAAAATATTTTTGCTGTTGCCTTTGATCTGTTAATAACTAGTGCAACACCATAAAATGTGAGTGTTGTCCATCTCTTTCCCATGTAATGGGAATTTTAAATTTATTCTTTTAAATTTTTTTTAACATATTTATTTTCAACTTTAACTGTATTTTAAATATATTAATATAAAGGAATGATAAACTTTTATTAGTTTCCAAAATAAGGGAAATTTCATAAATCTTTGTTTAAATATGGAATTTTTGTTTTTCTGTGTGTGTCTGTTCTCAAGTAACTATCAATTATAAAAATCAAGCTAATTTAAGAACACTATTTTTTCTCTGTAGTTCATAATTTTTTATTATTACTGATTCTCTAATATAATTGCAAATTCAACATTTGTTGAAATTTTTCTTAATTTTCGGGATTGTTTGAACTGAAGTTAAATATATTTAAAATAAGTATTTTATTTAGTATGTTATTTGTAATAATTTTTTGATAATATTTCATCTATAGTTACTCATCATTGATGGTGAAGAATTGAAGTCCGATCCTATAGCTGTTATGAACAAGTTGCAACAGTTCCTGAAAATTAAACCTTTTTTTAATTACAAAGATCATTTAAGGTAAAACATTTTTACGATCTATTGTTTTAAATGTTAGAGTATATTTTTTTAAGAGTATATTTATATTTAATATTTTATATTGTTCATAATTCTATTTAATATTTAATTTTACTTTATTTTGTATCCAACAAAATTTGTCTGTTTAAACCAATGTGTTTAAACTAAAATTTTTTTTTTTAGAAGAAAACTAACCCTGGTTTTTTATGAAAGAAAAAAAAAGCATTTTAATAGTTTAATTTTCTATTTATATAAATACGTATAGTTTAAAAATATTGCATGAAAAATGTTGCATTTTTCCTTAAATCCTAATAGATTTTAAATGTTAATGTATCACTGCTCTCCCGCAAAATCATATGTAAAATAAGTTGAACACATTTTTTATGTATCTATGCATTATGTTTCTATTTATGTACCATGTTTCATGCTCTCCTTTAAATGTGTATTAATTCAATTTTACGAAAAAGAAATTTTCATTTCATTAAGATAATTGATGCTAATGTTATACATTATATACTGCTAAACTATACCATTAATTGTTGCTTAAGTGTGGCACTTTCAAACATTCCTAACAAGCAAAGGGGAACTCACTCTTTTACATGCAACACTATTATAACAATAAGATATTAAATTTTATTATTTATTTGCATGCTAAATTGATTTTAAGTAAAATCTAAATCAAAATCTTCAGTTATTCTTTTTTGACATAGCACATTCATTAAACAAAAGCGTTATAATTTTTAATTGTATATTAATTTCAATTTGGGGCATAAAATGTTATTTTGGTTTTAACAAGTTTAAATCATAAATTCAAAACTTATGATTATTGAAAGTGATTAGATAACTGAGATAATTATTTATTATTATTATTCTTTTTTTTTTAATCCAGGATTTTAAACTTTATCACTATTTTGTGAAACATCTCAATGACATTTTATATTTCTAAAAAAATTTTGTGCACCTGAAATTTTTAGGAAAAACGTGTTGAAAATTGTGTGATGGAATTTTTTTTTTTAAAAGATTATATACTGGTAAGAAGCTTAAGAACATGCGTGAACGGTAAAAGTGGGCACTAAATTTTTTTATTGTAAGTTTTGTGATTTTTTTTTTTTACTGTGCTGATAATTATTTTATAAAAGTACTGGTAAATGGTTGTAAAATTGGCATATCTTAACCTCTGATTGTTATTACAATTCTTACATTGTAAACGTTTAAAATTTTAAAAATTCAGTTAATAAGTTTACCTAAAGTTGGTGCTCACAATTATTGTATATTTTATTTACAATTATTGTATATTTTTATTTAAAAAGTTGGTCATGTAGTAGCTTCTTTAAAATTAATTCAATTTTAATGGCAATTGTAAGTGTTTTGTAATATATCTCTTCTTCTCTTCCTTATCCCCAAAATTAGCAGGGCTAAACAATGTCCATGAAGTTCATGACTTGGAGGAAGTCTGCCACCAAAAGTGGGTTATTTAGTATGTCCCTCTTGTCCAGTCCAATACAGTCCAGGATATGTTGGGGAGAAACCTGCATGTTGTGGCACCTGGGGCAGTTTGGGAAGATTTTAGTACTACCCTTGAAGGAAAGAGACTTAAGGTCGCCGCTGGTAAGCGCCGTCTGGTCCTTCCAGTTGCACCGAATGTTGAGTGCACCTCCTGGACGGGTGCTTTGGTACCAGTTATGTTTGGGGGGGGTACGATATGATATGAATATGATAGGTTGTAATATATTTTATGTATAAAAGCAAGGCTAGGCATAATTGTTATAACTAATAACATTTTTGTCATGGATTTAAAAAAAAATAAGGACAATTTGATAATTAGTTTGGTAAAGTCAAGGAACTTATTGTCTTTGTGACCTCTGATATTTTTTTTTCTTTTATAAAGATAAAATTGAAAAATGTAGTTGCTTTGTTGAGATATTTTTAGTGCAACTACGTTAAAAATTTTGATATAGTTGTGTTAAATTTAAATTGTTAAAAATTGATTTCAGGTACGATCCTAAGAAAGGTTTCTTCTGCCAAGTAAGCCTGGAGCGTAACAATACTAAGTGCCTGGGACGAAGTAAAGGTAGACTCTATCCTCCTATGGACCCCCAGACAGAGAAGTTCCTGAAAGCTTTTTACCTCCCCCACAACATTGCACTTTCTAAGCTGCTCACAAAACTCAGACAACCCATTCCTCTATGGCTTGAAAAAGATTTATCCCATGGATCCTGAATCTATCATCCCCATTGGATTCTTACGAGATTGCGTGAACATTGTTGCATTATTCCGCGAATACTTATGAGAGTGACTGAATATTGTTGCATCATCCCATGGATTCTTATGAGATTGGAAATATTATTGCATTATCCCATGGATCCTTGACAACTATGAGATATTGTTGCATCCATGAGCTGTTTCTAATGAGTAAAATTTCTCATTTGTGATTTTTATAATGAGCTGCATTGTTACTAACTGCATTTTAAGATTAACTAAAAAAAAAGTTTTTTTTTTCTTTTTTCCCCTTATAAGTGTTATTTATACTTTAGGGGTTTTTGTACAAATTGAGTTTTATGAAACAATCATGTTATGGACAATCGCCTGATGAGCATGATTGCAAACTTTTAAACTAAAAGATACTTTAAATTAGAGATGACATATTGTCTCTGCATCTTTTTAAACAATGTTGTACATTTTCTTAATTTTATATTGCTGAACTGCGGCAGGATTTTTTAAAAGAGGAAGTGTTAATGAATGTTATTTTGTCGAGCATTGTAACAAACATTTGTGCAATTGTTTTTATTATAATAAGTGTCAATATATTAAGTCTTAATATTAAACTTTAATTTCATCAAAAATCGTATCATTGTCGATTGTTACTTAACAATAGATAGATTTGTAACAATGTAATTTATTAGTTGTAATTTTTTTTAATAATAATTAAAAAGAATGACTTTTTATAGTGTATACTTATTTTTATTTGAAATCTACTATCATCAGAATAGTTTTTTTTAAATTTAAATTTTGTTTTCATTGTGCACAAATGTATTTTTTATTAATTAAAATTCATTTCATATTGTTATGTGTGATGTTTGTAAAGAAAATACAGATACTTAGCTAAACTATTATCTTAGTATGTAATATATGTTTAAAATAACTTGTGGTTTTGTATATATAAATATATATATAAATGTATCAGAATTGTCTAAAAGGATTTAAATCATTCATCTTTTAATTTTTTATTTTTATTTCCTAAAACAAAAATAAGCTTTTTTTTAAAAAGAATTTCAAAATTCAGTTGTATCATTAACTGAATAGTGCTGTGCAGTTTTATTGTACAGGTTTAGGAAGTTATAACATATTGCTTTCTGTGAAAGCTGTCTTAACTGTGATTCCTCATATAATGAGAAGAAAACCATTGTTTTGGTTTTGGTGTTCAGTCATAACTTTTAAGCTACAAAATTTTATTGCACAATCAGAATAAGAATTATTTTATTTTGTAGTTTGCAGTGTTGCACCTTTTAAATTAATGCATCTTTCACTAGCAGTGCTTTATAAATAACTATGGAGAAAAAAAATTGTGCTGATGTTGTAAGTTATCGTTATTTTAAGACATCTTTAATTTTATTGAGAAAAATATAAAAAAATTTTAAGGACTAAAAATTTTTTATCGTTTAAAATATTGTTCTATAGAATATCAAATACAATTGTGTCTCCCTGAATTACTTGTAAAAAATATTTCTGAGTAACCCTTTCCCTCTTGCTCGTGTCAAAATGAGCATTTGTTCCCTATTTCTCATTGCCGTGATATTTCCAGGCTAGAGCATTAAAAAAATGCATGAAAAAGGTTTAAATGTATACATCGCCTGTGCACGGGATTTTTTTTTTTAAATTTCTTATTTTACACTATATGGTTGCACCCAACTATTTTTAATGCAACTGGAGTGTGATGTTGGCCTTAGCATCTCCTGCTTTAAAATTTATTTTACAAAAAAAATTACTAATATTTATTAATATTATGCATAAGTTTAATAAATTTCTGTTTTAATGTTTAAGAGACCTATATATTTTTTTAAAATTTTCTTTGCTAAGTGGAATATCAACATTCTATATCAATAATCCTAAATGCTAGCTTTACCTAAAAATTTACTTTTTAAAAAAAAAAAATCGAAGCTAAAAAAAATTCCGAAAATCAAAAATGGTTGCATATATTGTATGTACATGCACCCTACAGGGTAAAGAATAACAGTTACTGCAGAAATGTATTTTAGTAATTCCTATTATAACTACCATATTTATCTGGACTCTCTCAGATTAAGAAACTTGTTTTTGACACGAGAAATCGCAATTCTCTCTCCTTTATAAATATATGGAGAAATTAGGAAATTGAGATTCAAATGTAATATTTCTAATATTGATCATAAGATATTTCTTTTGAGTATTACAGGGTCTGTCATTTTTTTTCTCACAAAAATCTTGTGTCTTACATGTCAACTTAAAAAAAAAAGTTTTTCCTGAAATTAAAATCTGCTTAAAAAACTATTTATTTAGATGGGTATCTGATTATGGCATTGATGTAATTTGTATCTAGTTCATATCTTTTTGTAATATTTATTGAGCATTTAGACAAATTTTTAGAGAGTATGGAGAATTTATAACTTTTTAAATTATGGTTTGCAATTATTATTTCTCTTTTAATTAATAAGGGATTATTTTTTTTATTGATTAATGTAATAGAAAATTATATATGCGGAGATCATGGTAAATTATTACTTTTAAGATAAATTATTTTTATGATATTTTAATACTTCTACTCTATCTTCAGCCTAAAATCTCCTATTAAGTCCTTATTAATTCATCCTCATTATTTTTGAATAGGAGGAGAAATATGCCAATGAAAATTATTTTTTATGTTACATTTGTTTACATACAAAGCATTTAAATCATGTCGACAGGTATATTTTTTTATCTTAATTATTAATATTTTTTTTAAAAAATTAATACATTAATGATTACATACATTATTATTTGTTTTATCTCCCTTCTCATTTAATTATTTTTTCAAATAAATAGTTTATCAACAGGACGACACTATTGTATTAGGTATATTCTGTGTAATTTCTGCATGAAATTGTTTGTTTGGCTCTGTAATAATGTGCATTTCTAAATTTCAATTGATTATGTTTAGTTGAGGCCTATGTAGGCTTAATTTATTTATTCAATGATGATTTGTTCTATTTAATCTTTAAAATGAAATATTCGGGCAGCTTTTGTTACATTTATTTATTTGTTAATTTATTATTATTGGGACACTTTTTTTTTGTTTGATTAAAAATTGAAACTACTTACCATATAATTCACACAATTAAAAGTTTATAAAATGATTTAACTTATGTATCTGTCCAACTCTCTGTTCTCAATTTTTTTCCCCTTTATATAAAACATCTTGTTAAAAATTGAAACTACCCACCATATAGTTCATAAATTTAAAAATTAAAAGAAAAAAAAATTCATATCAATTCTAAAAATCTTTTTCCTGCTCTTTAAAAGATTTATTCAAAATTTTACTTTTTATTTGTTTGGTGAACTCCTTTCTTTATTTAAAGCTTAATATATATGTTTTTTTTTTTTAATAAGAGTTATTAAGCTGTGACTGAAGTCATAAAAATGTTTATAGTTTGTAAGGAAGGTATTATACTTTTCAAATTTTTCATCTTAACTGTAATCCCTGTACCATTCATTCTGGCAACTATAAACATATTTATTTTTATAAGAAAGTTATTATATTTTTATAATTTTATTTAGTTGTCCAATTGACCATAATTTACCTTTTTTTTTCTCGTTTATGGAGCGGTTTTTGCTTTCTTTTACTGTAGTAAATACACATTATATCGCTTTCGTCTATTTAGAATATTAAAAAGGAGATTACTATAAAAGAAAGAAGATTAAAACTTGTTTTCTCATTAAATATAAAAGTTTTATTCAAAAGAACAGGTTTTTGTAAAACAATTATTCCAATTTTTCTATTTGAACTTTTTATTTCTTCTTGAAATTAAGTGATTTGCTAATTTTGAAAGGAGGATTTTTTTCTATATCATTTAATGCAGAGTTCTCCCTAAGAATAAAAAAGGGACCCAAGTAATACATACAGTAAAATTTTATCAAAATGTATAATATTATGTAAAAACTGAATTTTATCTCTACAGTTTTTAATTTATTCTCTTAATTTTCTGTGCATATTTCTAAACCAAAAGTAATATTTTCTGTGCATATTTCTAAAAGTAATTCTCTCTCATAACAAATTAAGGGAAAAATTTGTAGTTCACAAAAAAATAATTAAAGATATCCTAAAAGACAAAAACTGAGCGCAAATTTTTTTTAACAAAAACTAAACTAAAATTTTTTTTTAATTGATAAACAACTTAAAAGTTTTTCTATAATTTAAACTGAAAATTATAAGAAAATAAATATTTAAGGGTGCTTTTTTTTTTTTAAAAAAAAAAGGTATTAAAAAAAATTTAATCACTTTAAAAATTTATTAATATTCCCCCCTGGAAAAAAGAATTACTTATTATAAAAGACCAGTTGAGAGTAATCCTAACAAAGTAAATGTTTGTAATAGTAATCAGAATTAAACTTATAACCACAAATAATTTTAACTGCATGTAATTATTATTTAAACTGTAAATAATTTTTTTTTCAAAATTGAATATGAATGAATAGGGAATGGTGGCTTATATTTAAAAAAAGGGTTCATTTATTGGAATAAAATGGTAAATAGGGCAGGCCGCCCTTCTAAAAACACTTGGGGAGAACACTGTTTAATGTTTTATTAAAATATTTTAATTTAATTACCAATAATTTTTTTAATCATTTTAGTATTTATGTTGTCTTGTGCATTTCAGATTTTAAATTGATCTCAGAATAGTTTGTCTAAATGTTTAAATAAACAAAAAAAAAATCAGAATCTGCTTGTATGGCATTCAGAATTATTACTGTTTGCATAAAAGTGCCATACTTAATTATTACTTGTTGACTAGTTTCATCTATGTTAGATGTCTTTTGGCTATAGTTGTGTAATATGATATGTTGTGACCTAAAGTGTTATATCGTTAAATTTGTATGAGTGGTTGAATTTTTCAAAGCTGATTAATTGAAAACTGTATTTATGCATGTGTGCTCGTCAATAAAGTATTTCATTTGTTGAACAAGTTAGCGGTAGATTTTCATTTAATATATAAATATTTAAAAAGCATGAAACACCACAAAAATGAAAAACCACACGCATATTTCGTGTATGTTACCATGAATGATTGAAATCAAGAGAATGTCGACTTTCACTGGTGAATGTCAACAGTCACATAGTCGATTTGGTGAATGACCGAAATATTTATTCAAATTTAATATTAATTTATTCGTTAATATTATATTTATTCAATATTTTAATATCTGCTGAGGAATTAGGAGAAACATCAGTGTATGGAGTACCGGTTAAATGCATAATGTCGCACTTGATCTTAAAAAAACATTGGTATAGGCTATAGGGCATACCGGACAGTGGTACTTAACTAGACCTAGTCAGGGGTGATTGTGCTCCGGAAAAAATCCGGATTTCCGGAATTTTCGCTAACAGTGATCGGGAAGTTTCCGGAGATCGAAGGACGTTTCAAAATATCATTTATCACAGAAGTTTCCGGAAATCAAATTTTCAAAGATGGAACTTAAAAACACAGTTTATTTTATTTGTTTGTAAGGGAGAGCCAGAGAGATACTTTATAAGCTTATATTCATGATTAATATTCATTTTTTATCAGTAGATAGTTGTTATAATCATAAACTCAAGAAAGAAAGACATATTTGTAAATTTTAATTACCTCTCCAGGTCATCATAGCTATGTGTAAATGGTATAGGTATGTGTAAAATTTTAAATATATTTTAAGTAAACTAAGAAATATAGGAAAAAAACCTTGTTTAAATTTTTTTTCAATTTAAACTGTTTTTTGTTTTGTTTTTAACTCAAGAAATTTTCCGGAATTTTGACTTGGGCTCGCAATCACCCCTGCCTAGTGTATATTTAGGACATTAACGAAAGCGACTGTGATTGTCAACAACCAACAATTTCGGTCGTTCACTGTAACATATATAAATCACGCTCTTATTATCGTGTTCGTATATATATATATATATATATATATTTTGGAACTAAGTAACTATAAAATACTGCAAGGTTGCAAGCAAATTATGTTTTTAGGCACTTATAACCTTCAAGGAAAAAAAAGGTTTACTTTGTGTTAAACTTATATAAAGCTAAACGACCTGAAAAAAAACTCAATATCACTTTAGCAGACATAGTTTCAGTACAAATGTGAAGAACTCATATTTTTTCGACATTGAAAAAGTTCTTTAGTTAAGAACAAACTAGAGTATACTTTTTTATGTGGCTTTTATTTTATTAATTTATTTTTTTCTCGTTTTATATTGTTTAGCTTCATACACGGTTAACTTAGCTCTCATGAATATTCAATATTTCGGGCTGCTTTACCACAAATATTTAAATTTTATTTGAAAATATGTGTATAATTTTCTTTATTTGTTAAATTGAGTGTTTTAGTGACAGTTTTATTTACTGTTGTTAAAACATGAAACTATAACTGATTGAAACACAACTCTATTTTTAAAAAAACTGCCGATACCAACGGCAAAATTATTTTAACCTTTATTTTAACCTTTTATTATTTATTAACCGTTTTTATTATTTTAACCTTTTTATTATTTTAAACATACAATTCTAACAAAAAAGAGCATCATACCAAAACCAAAGAACAAAAACATCAGTAGCGTAACTAGATCACTTTTTAATTTATTGTCGTTTTCAAATAAATGATCTAGTTCATCTCTTTTAATTTATAGTCGTTTTCTAAATGATCTAGTTCATCGCTTTTAACAACTGTCGCTAGTAATTTCTTTTAAGTTAAACTAGCTTTTATTGAAATTGAAATCCAAAATATTTTGTTTTGATGTCATAAGTAAACCATTAGATATTTATTTTTGGAAAGTTCTTTTTTTTTTTAATCGAAAAAGATTTCTCTTTTTTAATCAATTGAACTTAATCAAAACACAATAAGTAAAGAGACGGAAATTCTTTTCAGGCAGTTTCTAGATTGAATATAAATTTCAATATTTTAGAACGGGCACATTCTTAAAAGTCTATTCAATTTTTCAGATTTACCGAAAATCAATTACATTTTTAAAAAAGCTTAATTAATTCTTCATCGTAGAACATAACTTATAATAGTACTCCTAATATTTTTATTTAATCATCATATAACTTCGAATAATTACACATTTTTGTCCCTGTTCTAATATTATATATAGCACTACTATACATAATATTAGAACTATTATCTGTTCTATATATATATATAGCACTTCTGTTGTGCTTAAAAAGCTTAAGAATACTTTTTCATAAAACAATTTAGATTTAACTTCTGCTGTAAATCTTGTTCTCTTATAGCTGAAGGTAAACACTATATTATAGTTCTATAGTATATTCTAGATATCTCTAAGTTGAAGGGACGCTAAGAAAATTTCAAGATAACAAGTTTAGAGCTAAATCTGTTCTAAAAAGTAGAAAAATATATTCTAAAATAGTACTCTAAAAAGTAGAGTTATGAAACATAATAACACTAATTATTATGTATGTAATGATAGTTGACTATAAATCTTAAATACAGCAAATGATAATTTCTAAAAGTAAGGCAAAAATAATTATGCATTAAATAAAAAAGAGTTGGTTAACAACATTGTGATCTTTCAGAAAAAATTCATTTTCTATAACGAAAACTATTCGACGTAACAAGGTTTTGAGAAGAAACTCTTTGACATAGGAATTCAAATTAACATTAGGTGGATATGTAATGCTAAGGGGAAAAATATATATTTTTTTGACATAACAAGGTTTTCGAGATATCGAGAGTATATTGTAGTTAAAAATCTATAGTTTACATATTTCTGCTAACGTTGGCAGGTTTGATTTCATTTAACAAAAAAATTTTTTTATGACTTATAAAATTTCACGGTGGGTAGCTTATTTTTACAGAATGCAAACTACCCACCGTGCAATGCTCATGCAAATTTTTTTATTTTTAAAAATAACACAATACAATTGCGTCAAAATTTATTTAATTTCTTAAGCATCTCAGAAATTTTCAATTGTTATAACATTTCTGTATTAACTATAGCGGTTAATCATTCTGTTTATATATGCTACTTTGGGAGCAACTTTATTGAAGACGCTGGGTCTACCTTTCAGACCACATAGTCCATGTTCCATATTTGTGTCTGTCACGTAGCTAGCTACCCCTACAACTGTCCATTCATTGTCTATTTCACACATTAATGGACCGCCACTGTCTCCCTGCAATGTAAAACATTTTATGAGTATTTTGTCTATGTATCATGTTTTTCTTTTCTTTTCTTTTTCATCTTATTTTAATAGATCGGAGTTAAACCGGTTAATATATAGAAAACAGGTTGCTCTCGAAACAATATAATCGAAAATGGATTCGTCAGGTCCTTTAGAATAAGGTTGGTTAATTCGCTTAGTTATGTCACTTAGATTTGGTGAAATAAAAGTAACTGAATGTAGAATTATTGTTGTAAAAGAGCATGCCAAGTGGAATTTCCTAATAAATCGAAAATAGAATCATAAAGATCTCTGAAATATTGGTTGAATGATAATTGCTTAAAAATCACGAAATTCAAATACTCATTTCAAAACAATCAAGTGTCATTTTGCACAACCCTCTAAGAAACCATAAATCCGTAAAATGTAGATGTCTCGCATAATTTCATAAAATTGATTTTTAAATTGCTTTTTCTAATGGTGAGGATTCTAATGATTGCATTATTTTCTAAAAAATACTGTACTATATTTTATACATTTTATTTTAAAACCAGCATGGAGCAGCCGACCTAATTCTCAGTTTACAACTATCAATGTTCAACACCTCAGCTTTGTAATTTTGAACCCAGCCCCCAAAACAAGGAAACTCCCATATCAAGTATTAGAACAGCTTTCGTGGAAATTTTTTTTGATGGCACTGACACGCATTTGCGTTGCACGGAGAAGAAAACACCTTTCATGGATAACTCGACGGCAACGGGATTTTAACTTATGATCTGTCTACCACTGAGGACATTATACGTTAGCACTGTGGTCGGTGCGAGCCGGGAGCAGAATTCGCATCAACCAGCACCTCTGGGATTCAAACCTAGGTTGCCTCTATGGTAGGCGAACGCTCTACTTCATGTTCTTAAATTATGGGTTTTCATTGCAAATTTGCGAAGTCGGACACTTAAAGCAAAGGATTATTTTAGGTTCGTTTATTATGTTTGCTCCCCGTGTTTCAGAGTTACTTCAGCAAGTAACTGTGTTGCAGAAATTTACTATAAGGCAATATTTTAACACCACTAAGACCCCTTTTTTTGGTCATAGAGAACCATTTATGAGCAGAAATCACAGGTTCAACAGTGCAAATTCATAAAATGAATTTCTACGCTATTCGTTTTCTATGCCCTGCCTTAAGTTTTACAGATTTCCTTAAGGAGGAAAGATGTTGAACCGTTTCTGTTAAATAACAAACTCGACTTGCTTTCGGACGTGTAGGGTCGAAATCTCGACAAGTAACAAGCACACTTCAGAACCATAGTTTGTTTAGATCTGGAATAAATGTTTACGTTTGGCATTGAGTTCGGTTAACAGTTTACTTTACTACATCGCGAAATGAAAAGATTATGTGTTGTCTATTTGTATGTCTGACCATGGCTTCGTGGTGGATTAAAATGCAGAAATCTACTAATTTGGTAGAGATCTAATTTGGTAGAGATCTAAAATCTAATTTGGTAGAGATCTAGGACTATAATGATGGGAAATAAATTCTCAATCAAAATTCTGCTGATTTTTTTCTTTACTGCGCATCTTTTATACGTCACAACTTTTAAAACAGACCATCTTAGTTGCAATGAAACGAACGTACTACTGGGATTTATCCTCAACTACAAATATTTATTTTAATTACTTTTTAGAACCTAATTCTGCATTGGTATTATTGAATTAAAATATTTTATCAAGTTTTAAGCCACCCATACTTACATGACAAACACCGTTTCCTGGTGCCATGCTTCCAGCGCATATCATTGTTTGGGGAATGAAACTATCACCTACGAGTCTCTTGCACACAATGTCATTCTGTACTGGATGATAAGCTTGTTTCAGTACATCACTTCCACCAGTACCTATGGAAATAATAAGATTAAGAGATAGATTATTCTCTGTTTATTATTTAGTGATTACTTTATCCAATCCTTTATTTCATTGAAAATGAAGGAAATTGTATTGAAAGGGTGAGTTTGTATACGACAGTGAAATTTTTAATTGAATGAAATGTAATGCATTTTATACCAGAATAAATTAATATGCTTTTTACCTCTAGTTGCTCCCCAACCAACTCCAAAGCAGTTGCTTGTAATATCAAGTTTTGTATACAGTTCTGGAAGACAAGCTGGCTGCACGTACTTTGTGAATTTAACAGGAGCATTCAATTTTATTAAAGCTATATCATGGGTAATGTCAAACTGACCATCTCTTTCGAACTAAAAATAGAAAAAAAAATTATGCTTTTTTATTGATCACAAAAGGAATTTTTTTCCATATATTAACTGCTTTTGTCAAATTGTTTATTTTTTTCTTTTTTTCAAACTAAAAGTAGAAAAAAAAACTTTTTTATTGATCACAAAGAAATGTATTAAAACAGTTCGGAAACTAACTTCTGTTTTGCCCTAACGCCAGAAATAGTGGGTGGTGTACAGCCACATCTCAAACTATCTGTTACTGCAAAGTTTCTAGCCATCCTAATGCTAACCAAAGTATCGTTGTAAGAGTAGCGCATTGTAAATCATTTGCTGAATTCCATGGTGCAAAATAAATAAAATAAGCCACTGATATTAATATGAATTGTGTTTTGTTAATGGTTGTGTTGCTGAGTGTTAACGCGCACTCTCACAGAGTTCAGAAAACACAAGATCGTATATGCATGCTTATAATGTTAGTATCATGAATATTTCAATTCTTATTTAATATTATTTATTTAATATTATTTAATTTAATATTAGATTAAATTTTTATTTTTTATTTGTAAATAAAAAGTGAAATTATGTGGGATGTTTTTGTTACAGGGGATCGAAGGTTAGTTTCTAAACTGTTCTTGTAACAGCAAAAAAAAATAAAAATAAATAAATAAATAAATAAATGAAAAATTAAAAAATAAAACCCTAAAAGTTATCGAAATCTGCTGAATCATTAACGAGGAAGGTCTTATTAATAACATCAAAACTTGTTTGACTCCCTGAGGAAATTGAGAATTGATTATTAGGAACACCGTTAAATTTTATCGAGTAATAAAACTAATAATCTTGTTAATTTTACCTTCCTAAATAGTGATTTATCAGATTTTAATTCAGTTTTTACTTCTCTTGCTTAAATAGAATTATGACTTTCCAATTTTGTATGTTTTTTTTTCCATTTTTAAGAACTTTCAAAATATAAATAGAAATATTAATAAGGGTGGTGATTAAGGAACACCCTGAATAAGCTAGAAGTTACTTACTATGGATGGAGGGATATTGTCGTGAATGATGATGCGCTCTGCGCGTCGAACTTGTTCGTACTCGTCTTTAAAATATTTTCTGTGTTTTCCCAGATGAATTCGCCATTGGCTTGGACCTCTCATGCTGAAATAGAAGAAACAAAAATTATTATTGTGTTATAAAATTCAATAAATAAGTTTTTATTTATAAGTCGAGGAAATTGTGGTTTAATGTCAAATTTTTATTTATTTTAATGAAATAAGAGTTTTAAATGCAATGATTGATTGTTTAAAATGATGGAAAAATGCTAAAACATTTCTATAATCAAGACAATGTTTTAGGATTAATTATGTTCAAGGGTACTTGGATTGCCTTGCGCTTAGTGAATTTCAGTTAAATCTTGAAGGTAAAGCTTTGTTTCTCAGAGTTAAGCACAGGCCTCGTTTTAAGCAAATATCCAACCTATTTCTTTGTCTTGTGAGAAACTAGACGAAAGATTTAAATCCTCTTTCTGCTAAATATGTTGAAGGAAACGAGATGAAGAGCTGTTCGCTGACTTTTATTATTCTTTACAATTTCTTTCTATTGAATATTCATCATCATCCTATGGATTATCGTCCCTCTGAGGAGCCCTATTTCCCCTTTTTAGAGCGATCACCCCCAGATTGGAAGCAAAAAACTTAATTCTTTTCTCTTTATTTTTTGCTATAATTTTAAAAATATTCTGTAAAATAAAACAAATTTTTCGAAGCAATTTAATTCAAAATTAGCGTTTTAAAATTTGAAAAAACAATTGTTGAAAATGCACAAGATTTAAGTATTTAAATTAGTTCTTCTATCGTACACATGCGCGGAAAAAATTACAAATTATTTCCACAAATTTTATTATGTAGCATTGCAAATTACATTACTCGATAATGACCAGACAGCAAGAGCAAAATTAAATATGTGGAAAACCCCGTATCATTTTCAGCGTATCATTTTTTTTTCTTCTAAAAAGTACAAAAACTACTTAGAAATTTGCTTGAAACTTTTTACGCTTTTTATATATTTAAATAAGATTTTTTTTCTATCAGTTGCTAAATACGATTCACTACAAAATTAAGAAGAAATAATTTAAAATTTTTTCCGTATATGAGCAGTATAAAAGAACTACTTTAAATGCTCATGACTTGCGCATTATTAACAATTTTTTCCCATTTTAAAAAAAATAATTTTGTAATTAATTTTAAATTGTTCTAAAAATTTTGTTTAATTTTACTCAATATTCAAGTATTTAATCAGGTTATAGTAAAATAAAAAAAAACATAGGACAAATAAATTAATTTATTATAAAAATGTTAATATCTCTATAAATATTTAAACAGAATTTATGAAATTTTATGCTGTTATTTCAAATAAAAACCAAAGTAATCGATACAAGCTACAAGTTTGATGCTTGATTTTTTGGGTATAGGGTGTTCAAAAATATTTGTTTTCTTTCTTAACTAATTGTCAGTCCCTCAAACCCCTAAAAGCTTTGAACTTCATTTTGAGAAATTCAAAAATTCATTAAAATCTCAGAAACTGAGAGTGCTTCCTCCATTAATTAAGTAGAGTAGTATAATGCTGATTCAGGTATTATTAAGTACACTAAGCTCAGTGGAGAGACAGCCCATAGAGGGCCAAGGCCTACTGTGCCCATCTCAGTTTTCTTGACCTCGGGCTCAGGGGTGCAGGAGCAGATGTTCCGGTTAGGTGGTCAGCCGAGCGCACGAATATAGTGCCCAGTGAGCGAAGTGAACGAATAAGTACCAGTATAATTCGAGTACCAGTATATAAGTACCAGTATATAAGTATAATTCGAGCCCAGTGAACGAATAAGTACCTTTACTTATTAAATTTTTTGTTTAGTACATATCTTATTTCATAACGGTGATTTTAAATTATTTAGTTTTACCAAATCACCTTTTCAAAGTGAAAGTCTGAGCAAAATAATCACTTAGTTTCATATAACTTTAGGAATACTAATTCGGTGATAATTAAATATTAAAGAGTATAGATAAAAACTATTTTCCCATTAAGTGGAGCTGTAAGTTAGCAAACATAATTGATATTATCTTTTAAATATTTGAGGAAACAGAATTGCCTTCAGTTTAATTTGCATACCTGATTGTCTACAGTTAGTCAGGAAAAAAATTCATTTATCAAAATTTTAAAATTTTAACGATTTTCAGGATTGGCCGTTATAATTACTCCTGGCAACCGCTATCTAAGTTTCTGTTTGCTAGCATAAACGGCTCCGGAACTATAAGACTCGCATAGCTTCTTCCACTTGTTATTATCCATGAGTGAGAGCCTTCGGATTGATATAGAGTGAAAATCTATGTATATGCCTATTAATACAATAATTTTAGAAACAAAAATTCAATTTAAGAATATATTTTGCACTGATCATCATTTTATCTCTGCACTTTAATGTTTTTGGAGTTACTCGAGGATTAAGCCGTTATAACCCTGACAGACCTCCCAAACCTATTATTTTAATAACCTAACTTTTCACACTAATGGAAGTCTTTTTTAATGTAGCATTTTCGTGTATCGAATAAATTAAAATCTAAAAAAAATGACAATCATCACTGCTAGCCGACCCTATGATTTTGCTTTCAGATGAAGTATGTTTATAAAAGAAGAGAACTTACAATGGTGGATCACTAAAACAATGAGCGGCTGCAAGCACCCACTGGCTATTGATCAGAGTACCACCGCAAACGTGACCATTTGGTTCAATTAAATCCATCTGCAACTCAGCCATGTAGGGCCAACTTCCAGGCACAGCCTCACGACCACCGACAATTCTGTCAAAATCTGGAGCATCTTCTGGTTCTATTTCTGGTTTGCCACACGTTCCGTAAACTATGGGTTCTGTTAACAATAACAAATTAAAATGTATATATTGATTAGCATACAGTTGGAAGTGAGTTGAGATAAAATGTTTCAGTAATATCCGTTTCTACCGGTTCCGTAAACTATTGATTCTGTTAACAATAACACATTAAAATGTATACATTGAATTAGCATACAGTTGGAAGTGAGTTGAGATTAAATACTTAAGTAATAGCCGTTTCCACATGTTTCGTAAGCTATTGGTTCTGTTAACAATAACAATTTGAAATGTATATATTGATTGGCATACACTTGGAAGTGAGTTGAGATAAAATGTTTCAGTACTCTCAGTTTCCACATGTTCCGTAAACTATTGATTCTGTTAACAATAACGCATTAAAATGTATACATTGGATTAGCATACACTTGGAAGTGAGTTAAGATTAAATGCTTAAGTACTATCCGTTTCTACACGTTCCGTAAACTATTGGTTCTGCTAACAATAACACATTAAAATGTATATATTGGATTAGAATACAGTTGGAAGTGAGATGAGATTAAATGCTTAAGTAAGATCCGTTTCTACATGTTCCTAACGTTCTCTTAACAATAACGCATTTAAATGTATACATTGAATTAGCATACAGTTGGAAGTGAGATGAGATTAAATACTTAAGTAATAGCCGTTTCCACATGTTTCGTAAGCTATTGGTTCTGTTAACAATAACAATTTGAAATGTATATATTGATTGGCATACACTTGGAAGTGAGTTGAGATAAAATGTTTCAGTACTCTCAGTTTCCACATGTTCCGTAAACTATTGATTCTGTTAACAA